GAATTCATTCGCTTGGGCTACCCAGATGGTGTTCCTCAATGGGTTTCTTTGCCATTCAAAGCTAATTAGCATCATCAATACAGTGGTCCGCATTATAGTGGGCCAGGCGTTTTGTCTCTTGGCCATTACCATTTGAAGTTATCACTCAATCAATGGGATTGTAAATAAAAATAAAAATCATCATAACAGAAATCCCCCTATAAAGTTACATTTAAAATTCAGTTTTAAAATGGCAACTTTGTGTCCAGTTTTGGGTTTGGTTTTTTACTTAGCCAGAAGTGGGGCATAAAACGTTAACGATTTCGAGAGCTGAGTTCTCTTTTTATGAGTGGGTCGGCCGTATATACAGTATATGGTATGTATAGGGATGGGAGGGAGCCCGGAGCCCGAAGCAGGTTTCTGCAGCTGGTTTACGGCTTCACGTAATTAGGGCTATGTTTTACCGATTACCGATTAAGCCTATTCCCAAGGGTTCAGAGGTTGATTCGATCGCTTGCAGGATCCCAGTTGAACCTTAACTAGTTTTTCGTTCGCCCGAACTTAACCAATTCCTTGCCTTTGGGCCCCAACCATTTAATAGCCACAGTATCCATTAGCTTGTTTATATTAAAAAACGAAAAACGAAAGAAAAAAAAAACTTCCCATATCTTGCATAATCGACAATATATTACCCACACAGAGACACACACACACGCACAGACACTTGGAGGAAAAGTTTTTCAATTTTCCAAAGACCCAAACACTCGTCTCGTACACCAAAAACAAATCCGAAACGCTGCGTGTAATTATCATAAAGCGAAATCTCGTAGCGCCAATATGAAGCTCATAACTTGTCCAAGACCCAGGAGTCCGGGCTTGGAGGTTGTCCGGGAGATGGGGTCTGAGGGGGGGGGGGGGGGGGGGGCTGGAGGCTGGAGTCCTACCCATTTGGTGGGGTTCATAACGATGTAACTTTCAATTTGCGTAATTTTCAAAGTGACTGCGAGGAAGAAGCGTGGCCAACTGATCCCTCACCTAATGACTTCTGCCGTGTGATGCTATGAGAAATGGATGCCCGAAAGTCCACGTCCACGAGGAGGGAGGCCTGCAGTGGGGCGTGGCGGTGTCTGTGACTGTGTCTGTGTCTGTGTTTGTGTTTGTGTGTTGAGGTGCACGCTTGTCATAAAATGCCGCTTATTATGTTGGCTATTAATTTTTACAGCCTGGACGCGACTATGGGGACCCAATGCCCCAAGTCGCCTGTGGTTGGTGCGGTTCTGAGATCGTCTTGGCTGGGCTGGGCTGGGCCGGGCCGGGCCGGGCTGGGGAAAAGACTAGAGATGGGCAAGACTAGAGATGATAATGGGCATGTGGACTATGGACTATAATTGCTGAGGCATCAATCGGTTCTTTGGTTTGCAAACTATCGATAATAGGAAGAGCCCCAATAAGTGTTTCGTTAACTATCGTATCGATCGTCGGTCTATCGCCTGGACGATCCACTCACGGCAACGCTCCCATCCCTAGCCCCCAGTCGGAAAGGCAGGAATCTTGTTGGCGCTCCATGGCAATTTATGACAAGCAGGCAACGCTTCTTCTTTCCTTGGCCATGGTCATGGCCGTGGCCGTGGCCGTGGCCGAGGACCCCGGCTGCCATGGGTTGCGTTGCCTCTCATATCGCGGCTTCTATCGCAGATGTACAAATTTATTTTTGCGTTTGGATAGAGCCGAATGGTGCCGTGTGGAGGCTAGCAGGAGGCTAGCAGGAGGCTAGCAGTCCGGCCTGGACCGGCCCATCATTAGTACTAACAAGCGACATTACGCGGCTTTAGTTTGGGGCTAGTTTTCGGAATGCGTATTTGATATGGTCTTGGTCTTTGAGCCGCAGCAGTCTTAGCCTTTGTCTCTCCTTTGGGTATGTTTATTTAATGAGAACTTTTGTGGAATTTTTATTGCCCCATGCGGAGGATGGCCCCGTTCCCGTCCCCGTTCCCATTCCCGCCGGTCCTCGAGTTTTGGGGCGGAGTCTGTCCGCGTACTTATCGTATTTTTGATTTTTCATGGGTTTATTATATTATTTCGATGTAATCGTATGAGTTGGTCCAGAAATTGGCTTTGATTGTTATGTGAATGGACATATGATTGGTCCCCCCACAGATGGTTACGTGGCTAATGGGTTTATTCTCTATACTATTTTGCTTCTTTATTGCCCTGCGTACTCATATCCGACTAATCAGATCCGATTGATGATCTGTGCCTGAACATTTCATTACTTACTCTATTCGTAATTATGTGGGTACAAGAGCTTAATGGGCTGCGACTGGATTACATACCTGAAAGATGGAGAAAAGTATGAAATTAGTTGGGTAAATACATTTTGTTTGATTAGAGACTGCAGAACAGAGCGAATAGAACTGCAAACTGGTTTTCTCTGCCCAAAATACTCGCACTTTCCATTTGGAAAAATAAACATAAGAATATATTTCAAACAATTTTCCAAGTACAATGGGCTGGCAATTCGTGTGGAAATTATAGCGTGACTGCCGGGAGACTCTTCAGTGACTCAACAATATTTCACTTTTATTGTTGGCATTTTCATGCTGTTGCATAATCACAGACTGTATCTGATGGATGCCCTGCCACCTGGCCATCTCTTCCCATGGCAGTGGCAACTTCTGCCTCTCATTGTCTTCTACCGTCCCTCCCACCACCCATCGGGAGTGCACACAGATCCCATCGCTCAGCAGATCCCAGGGAGAGCCAGCACTGGGCCATCTATGTAAAGTAAACATTTTAATTACGAAAAAAGCCAAAGCAACTTTGACTTGACTTTTTCCACTTGTTTCGTCTTCAACTTTTCAGGTAAACCGGGGGGCACAACTCCCCTCGCCCCTCTGTCCCCTCTTTACACGTATAAGGCCGATGTTGTGCCTGACTTGCCATATAATTAAATACAAATAACAATTAAGATATACGAAGAGCTCAGCCGCAAGTTGAAGTTGAAGTGGGGGGGGGGGGGGGCTGGCTGGCAGCTCCATTTGCGGCTGCGAGCACGGATCAAGTCGGGCCAAAAACATAATTTAAGTTTTTTAATTAAAAGCAACCGACTTGCTTTGAGAAATGGTTTTCCAGCCACGACATTTATGAATTGAGACGTTAATTGTCATCCACTCTATTAGATTCGGGGGTTCGCCTCTGTTCGCTGCGGTTCGTCAATTGCCGGGACAGGCCTGTCCCATGAAATTGTCAAAAAAAAAATATATATCTATCTATCGAAATACATATATCTTTGATAGGCAGACCGAAAATAATTTTCATATTTAATTGACAGTTTGGGGCTGGTCTGAAAGAGAGTGCCAGTGCCTGTGCCTGTCAGTGCTACCAATTCCATTAGCGCGACTTGTCAGCGGAGTAGCGATAGTATTACGCAAATACCCTTTGATCGGAGAATGCAGAGAATGTACCGATATTTGATCCGAAATTTCGGTTTTTACTTCTCGCTCACTCTCCATTTGATTTTCCCTTGTGTGTGCGTACGTTTTCTTGCTTTACACTGAAAAAAAATGAATTGCAGATTGAGCCAAATAAAAGAAAATATTCATTGCATAACCAAAGGCACACGAACTCCTCGTATTATGTATTGAGTCATTTCAGAGACTGCGTTCATTCGGAGTCGGCTAATATTCATCAGAATTCCCACTGAAGGATTCGTAATGATCGAAAGTATTAAAAGGGGCATGGGTATAGCTCTGATTTGATGAACACTGTGGATTCGGTCAGTGCTCAAATTGTATCTTTTATATATGGTATCCCTTAGTCTAGGCTACGCATATTCTCGAAATTTACGAGTGTTTCGGCTCTCTTCCCGCCGCCTGGCTTTGGGGCGTTTTGGTGTCTGTCGCTTTACTTAATGGCAACATGTTTTACAACATTATTAGACAGGCCGAAATGGAAGCCAGTTTTTTGTTTGGTTTTTCGGTTGCAGACCAACCACTGGCGAATTTTAATTACCAATATTTTCCAGGTGTCGATACCCACTCGACCCACGCCAGGGGCAGCATTTTGCATTTTATGACAGGCCATATAACCCACAGACAAAACACACACACACACTCGTCTAGGCCTCGTACACTCGTGTATAAATCTATTGGCAGAAACCCACTGTATATGGTAGCTGCTGTCTAATTAGCGTTTTGTGACAAGCAGAGAACAAAAAAAAAACAACACTTTGAAATAGTTTTGTAATTGGCAAACATTTTGCCTGACCCGAGCGGAAATTATTTATTTAATTTCATTTGTATTTATCGGCTTTGGGCTTAGCAAATTGATTTGTCGTCGCTGCCGTCTGGTGGTGGGTGGGTGGTCTGGTTCCGGGTCGGATCTCGGGTTCTATATAAGCCTCTTATTTTTCCAAATTTTATCAATTGAGAATTCTTTAAAAATATGACAGGGCATTAGTAAGCAGCTTACCAACGTCTCAGCCCAGCCAAATGTACATCTGTATATTCTGACAAGTCCGAGAATTCGTTTAGGGTGATTTCTTTTTCGTACACATCACAGATATAATGATAAGATAGGGTATTTTTGTGTGTGCTCTTATCTTGATTGATTGGAACTAACTTGGCAAGAAGCGGCTTGTCTATTTGCCCATTTCCAATCAGATATCGATGGGGGTAATTATATAGTATATAAGGTAAGGGCACTCCCATTAATTACCGAATATTAACTACTATTTTCGTAGTATTTTTGTTCGAGCTATTCATATTTTTTCCAATTTCACAATGAAAGATATTTTGAGAATTTTGGTTTGATAAATATTTTTTTTGTTGTGTTTTATTATTTTTTTTTGTGGTTTTTTTTTTATTTTTAGTGTTATACAAATTAAATTCGTTTTATGGAAAAAAAAAAATTGGGCAATCACTTATCACTCCACCAGTAGAGAAGGCAGGAGGCATTATGGGGCATGAATCATCGGCCTTGGCTGCCTTCATCACTAGCCTGGCAATGGATCACTGCTGAGCCTTTCATCACTACCCTTTGCTAGCAGTGATGATGATGATGATGCGATGGAGGGCCGTGGTGATGGTCAAAGTGTCCGTGGTGCCCATGGTGTCCGTGGGGTCCGTGATGTCCGTGGTGGTGATGATCGAAGTGGTGTGGCGGCGGTCCATGGTGGTGGTGGTGGTGATGATCGTAGTGGGGCGGCGGTGGAGGTCCGTGGTGGTGGTGGTGGTGATGATCGTAGTGGGGCGGCGGTGGAGGTCCGTGGTGGTGGTGGTGATGGTGTCCATGACCGCCCATACTCAGGCCAAGGCTGATGCCGAACAAGCCTCGTTCCTCGTGATGTGGTGGCGGCATTTTGTGGTTAGATTCCTTCTTTTTTGTCTAGTGATTAATTCCTTTGTGTATGGAGACCTCCTCTCCGTGGCTGTAGAATGCGAACTGTGCTTTGAACCTGACGAAATGCCCGCTTATATACATCATACAAGGGAATATCGCTTGTTGTGTTCCATTTGTTCAGATAAGATTACTTCGATTGCTGTATCTTATCGAGAGGCAAGTGCTGCCGGTGACTCAATTGGGGATTCACTGTACTCTAGCACGCCAATCGGATCATAAAGATGGTTGTATTATTGTTCATATCCATGAGTAATACCCACACTTTGGCACTCCCTCCCTTTGCGGGTACTTTCCATGCCAGTAATCAAATATATTGAATACAAACGGATGTTTAGAACACACATAACACTCCTCTGCCGTTTCTGCCGTTTCTTTTAGTTTGGACCGCGAGGTGCTCGCATGAAAGCGAGTGAGAGCGAAGAATACTTCTACTCTTTCCGCCTTATTTACCAGATAGAATAGGTAAAAGCGTGGCCGCACCGAAGTGTATATACCCTTGATATCCCATTCAAAGCAATACAAGTACGAGTACCGCTTTGGGTGATTGCCATGATTGGGTGATTACATGAAAATCCCTCGCATGTGCTCATGCTCATTTCCGTACCGGGTGTTTGCTGCTTCGGCTCAACAATAATCGTATTGATTGTGAGTAAAACCGCAATGAGTAAACGTCAACTAGTCTGATTTGATTCATTTGCAGCATTGGTCGACGCGCTAGAGCTCCCAGAGCCAAGGGCCAAGGCCTCTTCCGGTGGGACTTCTCGGGTTCGGCCCTCTTGGGGTCTTGAGTGATTTGGGTGAGTGACTCAAATGTGATCTTATTCATGATCCGAGTATTAATGAGATTTTTGCAGATCTCTGTACGAAACGTATGACTAATTTTGGTATACTCTCAGCCAGGGTATGGAAAAGCGTGGAAAACGTGGAGGAACGGAACCCGGAAAAACGAGGAAACGAAAGCCAGAACACACTGGAGACCCCAAACAAAACCCAAGAGGGAGACAGCGGCAGAGAGACGCCGATGGTTGGCTCTATGGAAGGAGTCTGTCTGCCGGCTTTATATGGAGATTGGTTTGATGGGCTTGAGGTTCTCTGTTGCGCCTTCGCTCAGTAGCTCCCTGACTGTCGCTCTCTCGCTCTCTCTCTCTCTGTCTCGCTTTGCTTTCTCTCATGTGAAAGCGACTTTAGTGCGTGACAATAACTTTTGCCTTTGAGCCTTTTTAATGGTGTACGGGTACGGGTAAGGGGACGGGGCTTATGGGGGGGGTGAGCTGCGGTGGGGCTCTGATAAACTGCGTTAGAAGTTATAAAGCGATTAGAATGTGTCTGGAGTGTTTCTTTGGGGGTTGTCAGAGACAGAGACGGCGACAGCGACAGCGACAGAAAGAAAGCAGGAAAAACTTTGCTCCTGTATCAATTTAATGCTTATTTAAAGTGCGAGCACAACCCGAAACAGCGGGTGGTGGGTGGTGGGTGTCGGTGGTATATGGGAAATGAATGAAAGAGGGAGGGGGAGGGGGAGTGCCAGTGCCAGTGCCTTGGTCGGAATGCAGGTAATACATAAATTTGATTTTATCTACTTGCGTTTGAAAGAACTTCTGCAAAAAGTTTGATAATACATTTTATTAGCTCTGCAGAATAAAAATAAAAAAACGAGGACACAGTAAACCGAAGGCAATGGGGGGGGCGGGAGGCGGGAGTGTTGTAACTGGAGAATTCGGGAAAGAGAGCTGTGAGAGGAGCGTGGAATCAAAAGCATCTTTGAAAAGCTCTTAAAATTATCTTCTTGGATTATTACCACTTAGTATTCCAGCCACCCCCACCCCCACCCCATTCTCATACAGTTTTTATCATTCCATTTCTCGCATATCTCTCCCTCAAATATATCACGGTCTGACTCATGAGCAAGCAAAACACATAAACCCCACAGGAAAATCAGAGCCAACCAGATTCAGTAAATCGCAAATTTTCTATGCATTTTTTCGCCACTCCTCCTCCTCTCCGTCGAGGAGCCAGACAAGCAAATATATGTACATTCCCCGTATATGTATTATATATGTATGTATATAAAAAGAAACCATAAAAAATGCAACAGACCATAATAATTTCAATGTTTTTTTTTTCTTTTTTTGAGCATTTTCTGCTTTTGTCGCAGCTTTGCTCAGCGTTCCCTTTCCAGCTCCAGCTCCAGCTCCAGCTTCAGCTGCAGCTCCACCGCTCGCTCCACCGCTCGCTCCATCTCCAGCCCCATCGAGGATTCAGGGTCTGACTATGCAAAAATGCAGCAGCCAAAAAGCATATAAAATTATTATGTGACGAGGAACGTGAGGCAGGGACGTGGCTCGGAGGCCTTCCTGGACTCGGCCAAAAATCAGACTCAGCATGTGCACATATTCTCGTAAAGCTCAAATAAACTCGAGATCTTGACAAAGGGTTAAAGGCCATAATTGTGCGCCGGAAGGGGGCGGGCCACCTCTAAACGTGGCCAGCCGAAAGTGGAAAGTGGAATTGGTATTGAAAGTGTAAACACAACCAGCGGGGGGGCGGGCCCAGGCCCCCAAATGGGTCAGTGAAGGGATCGTGGGCTATAGCCGTTTTAATGGATTTGTGTTGAAGAAATATTTCATTAGTTGGGAATCGTGAATCGCCTCTTAGAAGTCTACATTTTTATGTCATTTTATGAAGGTATTCGAATGGTTTTTAGGGGCATTTCAGCTAATGGAGTTCCAAATATATTTCCGAGATTCCTTTCTTAGAGAGTTCCCTTTCCCAGTTCTCATACAACAGATGGGCATATGACGGCTTTGCCAATTAAGTTTTCGATTTCCGCAAGTCAACTTCAAAGATGCTCAAGGGATGCCACCCCCGCAGAAACAAAGCCACCGGCACATGGACGATGGATGCTAGTAACGCCAGTTCCCCAAATCCAGAGACCCATCATCTCCGCATTTGTTGACATTTCATTATGCAGAGCATAGCCCACCCCTGGCCGCGAGATGTTAAGGGATTTTCCGGATTTCGGGGGTTGCTATATCCAGATTTTTGTTTTGCCTACACACGTAATAAAAATAATAATAATATTTTGCCCCTACTCCTACCCCACCCAGCGCGTGTGTATAATTTACGATAATTGCCACGAAGTTGTGACATTTTCAATTAATTCGGTGCTTCACTGTATCAACAGTTGTCACCGATAAAACTCCATTCGATTGTGAACAGACTTTGGGGCTAATTTTTGCGTTATAGTATTTGTCGATTCCCTACCGGATATCCTATATCCCAGATCCCATATCCCATATCATGAATGTGATGAAAAAGCAGTTGAAAAATCATTGCTTATTGTTAATTTATTTCCCTTTTGGCTGTGGAAATTTCCTTCGTTTTTTTCCCCATTCTTTTTCTCTCTCCCTCTCACTCTCTCTCTTTCGTTTTTATTGACTTTATGGACTCGTACACGGATGTGGCATTTCCGGTAAGGAGTCGTCTCCCACTCTGTACCCCCGCAATCCTAAGCAGAGAAGGGGGATGGGGACGGGAACATTGACCAGCATAAAAGAGGAAGAGCCCCAGAAAACACAATACAATGTGGGACAGAAAGAGAGAGACAGACAGACAGACAGACAAGAGAATATAACAAAAACCTCAGTGAGAGAGAGCTTTTTTAAGCGCCTTGCCTTGCAATGCCTGGCCCTAAGCTTGTAATGAACTTTTATTTGCATTGTAGCCTACACAAGAGGCTGATAGAGGGTATAGGGTAGAAGATACATCCATGTACAGGGTGTAGACAAGTGGGCCACAAGTCTATACAACCGCACACACACACACAGACAGACAGACACACACACACCCATTTCAATTCATTCATTTAGCCCATAAAGCCCCACGCCATCGTCTGATGCATCCGACAAGGGGAACTCTTAGAGAACCCCTCCCCCCACCCCCCACCCCCTGTCGCCACCCGCACCAGAATCGATTTATGGGCATTTCCGGGTTGAAATCACTTAAAAGAGTTTGCTGGGACAAAGACGACGATAGAGACGAGAAGGGAACCGCTTGTTAGTTCCTTTGTGTTTGGCTTTTATGCTCTTCCTTCCTGGTTTTTTTTTTCTCCCTTTCTTTCTTTCGAACAGATCTAATGCATTCTTGGGGTCTGCCCAAAAAATGTTTGCGAAAAAATTTGTAAGCTTTATAAAATAAATATTCAGCTGAGGGGGGAGACCACAAGACTTTCAAGGGATGATATTACACTTGAATTTCTCATGATTTTTGAAAAAGGGGTGGGGGGGGGGGGGGGTGAAATCTCCCCCATGTGTGTGGGGTTGAATCATCTGTGGGCACGGGCATACGCATCTTTGATTGAGTTATTGTTGGGCGAAGAAGTAATTGAAATTTTGGGGTAGAAAAGTAGTCCATTTGTTGGATAAATTGACCGATCGAAAGTCACCCCCAAGTCAAACACAACCACATCCAGGGGAAGAGACAAAGACACTTGTGAAGTAAATAAATGCAATGTCTTTACTTCAAAAAATATCGAATCCATCCAGAAATCCAAGTCTTGCAATCCTAATTAACTTACGTCGGAAAAGTACACCCCATACCAACTTCAGCGAAACTTTAAAGCCAACCCCCGGCTCACTCGCGCCGATATGAGTAATATACCAGATGACGACTGAATGGCAAGATTAGCCTTTGAACCCTCTACAATAAAACCCAGCAGCTAATACCTACTTCTTACCGCATAACCGCCAAAGCGACTCTACTTTAAGCCGCAAAATCAAAGTAATCCACCCGTCAACGTAATCGCACACCCAGTTATAAGTCTCCGATCTCTGACCGAGACGAGAGACCCAAAGCCGAACCCAAATCACAATTACTTTCGATGGCAATCTCCGGGGCCTGCCCTACCTTTTTCCGTCCACACACTTTCCTTGGCTGACCCATTTTCAATTTGTTAATTTCGCCAGCAAGTTTTTCTCCTTTTTATAATCTATTTGAGCTTGGATTTTCGCTGAAATTTCATGCCACTTAATTAA